GAGCTCATCACCCAAGAACTCCAAAGTTAAGCGTGCTTGCACGGGAGTAGTCTTGGGATGGGTGACCCCCTGGGAAGTTTCTCAGGGCGCGCATGAGTGAGGACAAAGTGCGCGGTAAAGGCTCGTGGTGGTTTGTGGGGACAGTACTATTGGTCCAGAGTAACTACCTCGGGTCCGGTGGGGCCGGGGTGTTACAGCGGAGCATAGTGATGGGGCGTCTTCGGATGCCATTTTGTCCCACCGCCGCAGTGCGCGTAGGGGAGATCTCAGAGACGAGATCAACGTGAATAGGCAAGCTCGAAGAGATCGTCGATCTCCTTTGCGTACCCAGGCCGGTCATAACAACGTCAACCTCTGGAGGAGGCTAGACGAGCTCAGGATAGAGATGAAGGGCAGAACCAATCTCGAACATGGCGTAAGGATTCCCGAGCCTTTTACTCGTCAAATTATGGAGGCACCATTGCCACAAGGGTATAGGCCATGCAATATTGAGGCCTACCGAGGAAAGATAGACCCTCAGTGTCACGTTTCTAGGTATGTGGCTTACATGGTCATGATGGGGTATGATGATGCTATAAAGTGTAGAGGATTCTCGGTAACCCTAGATGGGCCAGCCCGAGAATGGTATGATTCTCTGCCAGATGGGGGAATAAGGAATTTTAGGGAATTGGCACATGCATTCGTAGCACGCTTTGCCACTTCCAAGGATTCCAAAAAGAATGTACCTCACCTCCTAGGAATCAAACAGGGCCCCCAAGAAACCCTGATTGATTTCCTAATCTGCTGGAGAGATGAGTCGGTTAAAGTAGAAGACTTAGATGACAAATATGTTGTGGCAATCCTCACCAATGCTCTAAGGTCAGACGAATTATATAAAGATTTTAGACGAAAGCCACCGACCTCACACGAAGAGGCCTTGTTGTGCGCGAACGCGTAAGCTGAGGTTGAGGAAGCTCAGAAGCGGAAGAGATATGAGGAAGCCGGGAAGGCCCAACCTGATGAGGGTAAAAAGAAGAACCCAGAGAAGGAGACCCAAGATCAAGATACGGGAAATGGGTTCAAAAAGAAGAATAAGGGCTGAGGCAAGGGCAAATCAAGTGTTCTAGAAGGCCCGTTATCCGGCCAACCTGAATTTCCAATCAGTACAGTCTTGGATTACGCGGCAAAGCAAGGGTTGATCACAATCCCTAAGGGTTGTAACATCGTCAACAGTCAGCCTTCTAAGGGTACATTTTGCAAAATTCATAAAAGTGATGCCCATGAGACTGACGATTGTTACATCCTAAAGAGATATGTGGAAAAACTTGCCCGCGATGGACAATTGGATCAGTTTGTGAAGAAACTCAAGCAGAATCAGGATCCTTAAAAGAAGAACACCTGGAACAGGGGAAAAGACGAGTCAGCCTCAACTTCCAAAAAGAGAGAGGTTAGAGCCCAATTTGAGGATGTTGAAGAGGGAGAAGATTAAGGCCGGCAGAAGCATCCACATGTCAACCAGATCTACGGCGGACCTGTAGGCGAATAATAATAATAATAATAATAATAATAATAATAATAATAATAATAATAATAATAATAATAATAATAATAATAATAATAATAATAATAATAATAATAATAATAATAATAATAATAATAATAATAATAATAATAATAATAATAATAATAATAATAATAATAATAATAATAATAATAATAATAATAATAATAATAATAATAATAATAATAATAATAATAATAATAATAATAATAATAATAATAATAATAATAATAATAATAATAATAATAGTAATAATAATAGTAATAATAATAGTAATAATAATAGTAATAATAACAGTAGTAATAACAGTAGTAATAACAGTAGTAATAACAGTAGTAATAACAGTAGTAATAACAGTAGTAATAACAGTAGTAATAACAGTAGTAATAACAGTAGTAATAACAGTAGTAATCACAATAATAACAATAATAATAATAATAATAATAATAATAATAATAATAATAATAATAATAATATTAATAATAATATTAATAATAATAATAATCATAATAATAATAATAATAATAATAATAATAATAATAATAATAATAATAATAATAATAATAATAATAATAATAATAATAATAATAATAATAATAATAATAATAATAATAATAATAATAATAATAATAATAATAATAATAATAATAATAATAATAATAATAATAATAATAATAATAATAACAACAACAACAACAACAACAACGATAATCTCAATTATTGACGGTGCACTCATTATAATCTCAACTATCGATCACTCCAAAATAACCTCAATTTTATGGACCTTCAGCTAATACTGGTCCGACGTGACCGGCTACCTGTTTAATTAATTAAAAAAGAAATATCAGATTATATTAAATCGAACTATTATTTGTGGAATTTTGTTGGAAACAAAAAAATAAATTAAAATTTTTTACATAAATATATAAAAGGTTAAAAAAGATTATAAGAATGAAAAAATTGATAATAATAATAATAATATCAACTATTGGTAATCTGCTCATAATATTCTCAACTATCCATTATTTCAGAATACGGAAATTGTCCTAAATAGGACTAATGAGTTCCTAAAAAGCAAAAATAGGACTACTACTTTTTAAATTTCCTAAATACGACTAAACATTGATTTTCTACCCTAAATACCTCTAAGAGTATTAATTCATAATGAAATGATTTAATTCATAATAAAATCATAAAAAACGTAAAAAAAAATGTTTAAAAAACGTAAATGTTTTTTAAAAAAAATTAGAAAAAATTTATAAAATAAAAAATTTAATTTTTTTTTAATTTTTTTAAAAAATAATAAAAAATAGTAAAACCCATAAAAATGAAAACAATTATGGATACCTTTCCCACCGCCTCCTAGCACCACCACATCCGATTGGTGAAATTTCTTCCACTTTTGGTAAAACAATGTCATCTTTTTCTGAAAATGCCAAAAAGATGGCATAATTATTCTTCAATATGCCAACATTTTCATTGAATATGCCATCATTATGGCACTATTTAAAATGTTGGCATATTTTTCTCCGGTGATGGGAGCTGGTGGTTCTGGGGGGTGGCAGGGGTGGTAATGTTTTTTAATTTTATTTTTTTTTTATTTTTTTTATTTTTTGAAAAAAATATTTTTTTTATTTTTGAAAAAATATTTTTATTAATTTTATATTATTGTTTTACGATTTTTAGTATTTTTTTCGATTTTTTATTATTTTTTATGATTTTATTATTAATTAAAACATTTCACAAGTTACAAGGGTATATTTGTCCAAACACACATAAATAGTCCTATTAAGGGAATTTTTAAAATGTAGTCCTATTTGTGCAATTATGCCACTTTTTAGTCCAATTTAGGGAATTGACTCTTCGGAATAATCTCAAAATTAGAGACCTTCCTCTAATAATAATCTGACACGACCAACAACATGTTCAATCAATTCAAAAAGAAATATCATATATAATAATCCAAACTATTATCTGACGACTTTTGTTGGAACCAAAAATAAATTAAAATTTCCATAAATGTATAAAAAGGGTAAAAAAAAGATTATAAAATTTTGGTTTTACTTAATTAGCTTTATTAGATAGTTTGTGGAAATAAAGAATATAAAATATGTACCTATAAAATTTGGAAAAACATATACACCAAATAAATTTCAAAATTCATGTGAGATATTATAAATATAGAACTAAGATAAAAATATATAAATAAAGAGAGTAAAAAGCTCAATTTAAAAACCTTCAAGGAAAAATGAAATTCAAATTAAGTACAAATTCAAATTAATAAAATGAAAAACTTGACTTTTAAGTTTAAGAAAGTGCAAACAGATACAAATACTAATACTTTTTTTAAAATATTCCAAAAAAAAATAAAATCTAATCACCCTAAAATATTAAATCATTTTAAATTAGTTAAAATCAATAAAAATCATGAATTTGTAAAAGAATCCAAAAAAACGATTATTTATCAAAAAAATTATTTTTTTTTGAAAATAAAAAGAAATATCATATTTTTATTTCTAAAACGCAATATGCTTTTAGATTTAGTTAAACATTCATTCATAAAATTCAAATTTGAAATTTAAATAAATATTTCTACTTTGTATAAAAACAGTATATGAGTTGACGGTTGAGATTATTAAAAGAGCATAATTCAGATTATTTATACAATATACTAAGTTTCTATTTAAAATTGATCTGTTATAACATATTATATGCGGTTATGAACAATTATTGACAGATCGTCTATAGGATTAGGATTCTACATAAGTAATTAAGGATGCTATTGCTTGTATTGTTGTTAGTTCCAGGCCAGATTTAGACAATTATAAAATGGGAAAAGGGGCAAATAAGCCCTCAAACTACAAAAAAAAGTGCAAATCACCCCTTAAATAGGCGGCTCTGTCCGGCCATCGTTATTTGGGGAGGTTCCCGGTAAAATTTTTCGAAGGAATTTTTTATGCATCTTCTTCATTAAGTCTAGTTTACTCATACCAAATTTCAGCTAAAAATAAAACCGGTAAGGCACTTGAATGATTTTCTGAAATATGCTGTGTTGTTTAACTGCATAGTTACATTCAAAAATTCATTTGAGTTCCTTCCCAATTGAATATTTATCTGAAATTTGGTATGAGTAAACTCAATTTAATGAAGAAAATGCTTAAAAAATTTCATCAAAAAATTCCACCGGGAACCTGCCCAAATGACGATGATCGGACATAGCCTCCTATGTAAGAAGTGATTTACACTTTTTTAATTAGTTCTAGGGTTTATTTGTCCCTTTCCCCTTATAAAATACACAGATTTTTATCCCTGTACAAAGATTTCTTGTAATGTGTACGATTTGACTGGGATTAAATTCGGAGTTGCCTAAAATCTTACGGGTAACCAATTTTGGTTGCCGTATTCCTATTGTGATTCAACTTCTCGTTTCTTTCCTAATACCGTCCCACATATTGAGTTCCCATAATCCGCACACAATTACGAGTAAATGTATTCATTCCTTGCTCTTCTCACTTACTACAATTGCCCATTTTTTCCTTCTCTGAGAGATTTGTGATTAATGAAGATGACGGTCAGTTCAGAAAGCTTGCGATATTCGCCGTCACTGCCGCCCACACAGAAAGAGAACTGCATGACTAAGCCGTTGTCTCTCTCGGGACCGACCCAGGCTGACAATCGGAGGACCCAGGAATTGAAGCAGTTTTTGGAAGATGCCGGCCTTTATGAGAGTGCAGAGGAGACTGCCAAGAGAGAACATGTTCTTTCCCGCCTGAAACAGATTTTGAAGGACTGGGTCAAAGGGGTTTCTCGCTCGAGAGGGTTCAGTAATCACATGGCTGAGGATGCGAATGCGGCTCTGTTCACTTTTGGTTCATACCGGCTTGGGGTTCATGGGCCTGGATCAGATATTGATGCACTTTGTGTTGGTCCTTCATATGTGAACCGGGAGGAAGACTTCTTTTTTGGGCTGTACAATGTTCTTTCAGAGATGGAAGAAGTCACTGAATTGCAAGCAGTGCCAGATGCTCATGTACCAGTTATGAAATTGAAGTTCGATAATGTATCAATTGATCTGCTGTTTGCTAGTATTTCCTTACTGGTTGTGCCTGATGATTTGGACATATCCAATGTGTCTGTGCTGTACAATGTTGATGAGCCAACTGCCCGAAGCCTAAATGGGTGCAGGGTTGCTGATCAAATTCTCAAGCTTGTTCCAAACGTTGAAACTTTCAGGATAACTCTGAGATGTGTGAAGTTCTGGGCTAAGAAGCGTGGGATTTATTCAAATGTGATTGGGTTTCTTGGTGGAATCAATTGGGCTCTTCTCGTTGCTCGGGTTTGTCAGCTGTATCCCAATGCATCTCCGAGTATGCTTATTTCTCGTTTCTTCCGCGTATACACTCTTTGGAAATGGACGAATCCCGTTATGCTTTGTGAGATAGAGGATTTTGGGCATGGATTTTCAGTATGGGATCCTCGTAAGAACCCCTTGGATAGAACACATCAGATGGCAATTATAACCCCAGTCTACCCATGCATGAATTCCAGCTACAATGTCTCCGCAAGTACACTTCGGGTTCTGACAGAAGAGTTCCAGCGTGGTAACCGGATATCTGAGCAAATTGAGCTAGATAAAGTTCATTGGAGTAATTTGTTTGAGGCATTCTTGTTCTTTGAAAACTATAAGAGCTTTCTGCAAATTGATGTACTTGCAGCAAACATGGAAGGGTTGCTTGTTTGGAAAGGCCGGGTTGGGTCCAGGATCAGGCAGTTGAGTTCAATGGTAGAACGAGACACAAAAGGGAAGTTACAATGCCATCCACATCCCCAGGAGTACATAGATCCTCTTAAACAATGCGCCCATTGTTCCTTCTTTATCGGGGTGCAGAAGAAACAAGGGGTGGTCATCGAAGAGGCAGAGCAATTCGATCTCCGCGGCACAGTTGATGAGTTTCAACATAAGGCGGGAATGTATGCTTATTGGCAACCAGGGATGGAAATATGTGTATCTCATATTCGCAGAAAGCAGATCCCTCCTTATGTATTTGCAGAGAAGCAATCCACATCAGGTGATAAGTGTTTGAAGAAGAGAAGGGAGCATGGAGTTGCAGAGGAGGAGAACAAGAGTAGAAACAAAAGACAACATGTTGGTTCCCAAAAGGCGGATACAGTTTCTCCTGAAATACTTGCCAGGCAAAGAAGTGGCAACAGATTATGTCAAGCTGGAGGAGAATTAGCTTCAAGAGCATTTTCAAGTATGCTGGCCATGAAATGAAACAATTTGATGTTATGAGATTGAAGCAATGTAGTGCTCTCTAAGTAATCTGGAGTATTAAAAGAAAGCTCTTTGGCTAATGTGTGCATATCGCATGCACCGGTGGAAGACGGAGAATTGGAGGTTGCAATGCTAATTCACCCAATGAATAGTGCAAGGACTGATTATGCAGTGCTCGGAAGCTGCACTCAATGAATTCTCATTTGTGGATAGTTCAATACCAAATACACGAACTGCAACTTCCCTACAAACGAGTACAGTCTCATTTACCATCGCCCCTCTAAATGAAGAGTATCCCTGAGGGCCTGAGGGTCTTCTCTATACCAAGGAAGCTTGAATGCCCTATGGTGCTTCCCAAAGGAAATGATCTTTGCTGGTTTTCATGCAACTGGGAGATTCACTAAAAAATTGACAGAATTTTCACTTGGCTAGGCAGGGAGTGGACACTTCAAAGTGATGCTGTCATATGCTTCAGGGTTGCATTCCGATTAAGTTTACATTATAGCATGCACCTATAATACCAAAGGGAGTGGAAATTCAAGCACAGAGAAATCAAGCAATTTTGAGTGAGTAAAAATTGTCATTCTGGGCTTCTGGCTATCACATTATACTTTCCAGGTAGAAGACAACACTTGAAAGAGCTGTTTTAAGGATGAAATAGAGGAGAGATTATTAAAGTGTTTCTACTATTGTTTTAGTGGTTGACTGGTTGTCTTTGTGACTTTTTCTCTGAGCATATTGCTTCTGCTGGAGATATATGGTGCTCATAGTACGTGTAGGATTTTATCAAGTTCAAGAATGAAGCATTGAATATTCTCTAATGTTTGCAAGTTTCACACCTAGTATTAATAAAATAGTTGTTGATAATGTTTGTAAATCAAGCACTTATAATTTGATGATATGGAGAGTCACAGCTGACATAAGCTGTTTTAAATTTGAAAAAAATGACATAAATTTACCTCCATAGTTTTGAAAGACTAAATGTTGACTAGTTTTTTAAAAAATTCTAACTACCTTTGTGTAATTAATTTAAACTTCTCTAATTTTAATTGCTATCCAACTGCTCATCCCGTGCTCCACTATCGCCCCCGTCAACTACTGCTTCTCGAAATCATTGCCGTCCACCTGCGCTGCGAGAATTAAAGTTATGTTTTTCATCTTTTTCTTAGTAAAATCACCGAAAATATTCTCTAACGGTCACATATATTTCACGATGGCACCGGGGGCGGAGGTAGTTGACACAAGCATTTGGTCGATCAATAACTTATAGTTGCATATTAAACTAGTGGTCACATAAAACATTGTTAGTTACACAATAGACTAAGAGAGTGTTTGCAAATGTTTTTCTTTAATAGTAAAAGTTGATAGTGTTCGAGGAAAAAGTGATTTTGAAAAGTAAAAATTAGTGGTGTAGAAGTTGCACTTGAAAAGATTAATTTCATCCAAAAGTCGAGATGCGCTTTTTTAAGTAGAAGTTGTCACTTGAAAACACTAATTTTATTATTTTTTAAATCAAAAGACGAGAAGCACTTTTTGAAGCTTTTTGCAAACAAACAATAATAATAACATTAATTAATTATTTCCTAATTTTATTATTTTAATCATGCTATTATTTCCAATATGTAAATGTCATTGCTTTTTTAAATTGAGATTCCATATAATACTACCTCGGTCCAACTTAAGTTTTTCATTGAATAATGATACAATCGATTGGACAATAATTAAATAAGATTATTCGTGTATATTTTGAGATGTAATTTTTATGGGTATACAATATAATTGTAATATTGTAGGTGTATTGTTTTTTATTTTGACAAGTAAATGGTAATTTAAGAGTGATAATTATTTCCTAAAATAGAAATAAGAACAATTAGTTGAGACAACTAAAAGATGCAAGTGAGAAGTTTAAGCGGGACGAATGAAATGCTCCTCGATACAACATATCTAAGAGCATCTGTCATGCAAAGTTGTTAACGGTGCACGCATGACAAAAGAGACATAGACACCAAAACAATTAATTAATTAATAGAAAGTATGTCACGTTCTTTCGACGGTGTAATAATTTTGGTTACTTTTTTGTGTTTATATCTCTTCTGGCACCGTGTACGGGTGACACTTTGCTAGGAGTGGCAACGGGTCGGGTTTATACCAGGTGGAGACTCATCCACGTCCATCCATTAATTTTTCATATTCCACTCATCCCTCTATCATCCATTAAAAATTACATCCACATCCAACCCATCCATCATGAGGGGGTTATCGGGTGGATCGGGTGACCAACGGGTGCATATAAATGGTCTAACTTGAAAGACAAAATAAATAAATTATTAATAGTAATTATAATAATTAAAAACCAAAAATTAAGAATTCATTGAATAACACTACGTAACAACAAAAACTTGAGCAATTAATTATATTATAATCATTAATTCACTGCCAATAAAAAAGAAGCGGTTGTCAAACAAATAGACATAAAACTTTTTCAAACTGTCAAATTCTAGATTTATGCATCGACACGAAACCATTTTTGCAGTTCAACTGCCACGTCTTGTAACTATTCAATTGTCTTCATTTCACCAATTCATAGATATGTGTCTTCTTCATTAACAAATACATATTTATTACTCTGTAATATATTAATATTAACTATTATATATTATTAAATATATATTATATATATACATATATATATATAGGTAAGAGATCAAATACAAACCATGCTTAAAATACTAACCTACAAACTCAATAATATGCAACACTTTGAACTTCAATATGCAGTACAAATAATGTAAAGATGCACACTGTGAATTTTAATATGCACTAAAAATAATATGCAGCATTTTGAACTTTAATATGCAGTACAAATAATATGCAGCACTTTGAACTTTAATATGTAGTACAAATAATGTGAAGATGCACAGTTTGTGATAGTTTGTAGGTTAGCATGGGAAGACTAGTTTGTATTGATCTCACCCCTATATATATATATATATATATATATATATATATATATATATATATATATATATATATATATATATATATATATATATATATATATATATATATTTATCTGCGGGTTAGCGGGTGGGTGGATGAAGCGGGTGACGGGTCAGGTGATGGATTGGATGAGTGTTCATCCACACCCGACCCACCCCGTCTTTCAATCCACCCATCATCCATTTTCCATCAATCTTTTCTCGGGTTTTCATCCATAATTTCGATTTAGGTTGACCGGATCTCCATGAGTGCGGGTGATATGCCTTAAGATGCTCTTAAAATATGTTTTTTAATAAAGGTGCCCTTAAAATCCTAATCAGCAATTGTTACATATTTATTTTCAAATATATTTATGAGAAATAGTCAAATGCTATGTTGAGTGTTGACAACATAAAACTATAACGTGTGCTATTACTATTTCTTGCGCGTACGTGTGCGGTTAGTTTTTATATGTACATAAAAATGAAATATAGGAAATCATTATTTATTTTAACGCAAGTTACCCACAGACCATGTGGGACTATATGGTCGGCTCAACGCGTCAAATTTTCAAATTAAGCGCTGAATTTGAAAGTAGCATGGCGTCAAGGCTAAGTTTGAACGTAAAAACGCTTTTTTATATTTTTATTCATATTAATTGTCAATTTGTCATAATTGATCTAGAGAGGGAGCCATTGATTAATTACAGGGGTGTCAAAATTTTCCCTAAATACTACTTCTGTGACATAATAAGTGATAATTATAAGTTTTCAACTATAATTCGAATCAATTTTAATTTTCAAATCTTAAAATAGGGAGAGTCATTTTACATGATATCAATTACCACTAGTAATAATACACATTGTTTAAATAATTATTCCATTTTGCAGCTACAAGTATATAATAAAAATGATACAAAATCACTTTATAGTCTCTAATTCATTCAAATTATCAAAGACTTAATACAATTCATTAAACAAAGTTTATTTGATAGTCAAATATTCCATTATATATGTTTGATAGTTATGATAGCTCTGGCCTCTAGCTATTTGATGTAAAAAAAAATAGCTCTGTAATTTAATTTATGATTGCTAAATATCTATGATAGGAGTAGCTTAAGAACAAAATAACGTACTCTACGATGATAAATTTATGATAACGATATTCTAGTGAATCTAGGTCTTGCCTATATATGTAGATGCCAGATAGTTCTCATATGAAAGTATATATGATAATATGAATATATAATTTTTTATGTTATACATTTTACTAATTTAAATTTAGAGTCAACATAGTAATTTGTAAATTCTTCCTTTTATGGCCTTAATCATAATTTAATTATTTGTCCAATTCTCAATATAAGAATTATTATCTTTGTCTTGAATAAATATTCTAGTGAATCACTAATTAAAATGATTAAAATGATATTAACCATGACTAGTATTTCACCCGTGCGTTGCACGGGATGTAATATCCAAATATTATAAATGTTAGCCTATAAATGATATTATTGATTATATTTTTTCACGCAAATAAGAGTAACCATTAATAAATAAATACTACGTAATACGTAATAACAAATATTATAAGTTTAATGAACACACTATTTACAAATTATTGAATAAAGACAAAATGTTTTGCAATTTTCTTATTTCCGTCGTGGTCGCATATCAAGAACTCCATACCAACTTGGCACCCCCAAAACTACAACATACCAAATATACCATGGAAAATTAGCGTGAAACCTTAGAACTACTACATATATTGTTTGTACAAAAAAGAACAATTTTTTAATTTGCATGAAGTTCACCAACCTTTAATTACTTGCTTTATTGAACCTGAGTAAAAAGTTGGGATGAGCTTATCACATCGTGGAATAGATAACCTGTAAATGTTAGATAATTAAGATCAATCTTGTATATGTTTCTAGTCACTTGACCTCCAATGTTAGATAATATAAATTTTCCAATGAAGTACTAAAAGGTATTGTTGTATTACAGATTCTTCAATTACACCGTAACTGATTTATGCTTTAGAAAAATAATAAAGAATCAAAACGGATCTTAAATTATTATATTTTCACTTTGAAAAATAGAGTCAAAACGGGTGGAATTTTATGTCATAATTTCTTCGACTAACCAATTTCCTCATCCTTTTTTATATACACTATCCGATACTCAGAGTTGTTATTAACGAATTAAACACCTTGTCTACAAATAAAAATTGAAAACGGAATACATAACTCCAAATTGACTATAATGTTATTCAACTTATTTTTAAGGTGTCAATCCATTAATAATTAAACAACCAAACAACTTTGACAACTTTTTATGAACTTTGATGCAAACCGAACTTAGACGCCATACATGCACAAAATTAGAATCATACATCAGAAAACCCAAAATTGAAAAAGATTTTAAACGGTAAGAATGTTGTTAATGGTAAACAAACTTTCCAAATACTACGTATATCTCAAGTTGATTTCATCTTCCCTTTACAATTATGACTTACTATATTGCTAATATTGTTTTTTTACGCAAATATTGCTAATATTGTTATTACTACATGTCATTTTTAATAGCAATGAATTGAAGATGTTATCACCACGCAACGCTTTGAGGATCATCAGGTTCACATACTTTGATCCCAAATTCATTTTGGTTGGGAAAATATGCATACCCGCCATTGGTCTTTTTCTAAGTATTTTCTTCCACAACAACTTGTTCATAACACATTGATCTGGCAACAACTTGGACTCTGCCCACTGCTTATCTTCTTTAGGCCGCTGCACAGGAGGGCCATATATGAGAAAGTAGCTACCAGGATGAAGTAATCGGGCCAGAGATGAGACAGGTGAAGT